GAGCGGTACACACTCCCACATGTGCCACACACACTCCCACGTGTGACACAAGCGGTACACACTCCCACACGTGCCACATTCACTCCCACACACACACTCCTACACGTGCTCCGGTTCTAACCGGTTCAGGCCTAAAAAATACTCCCACACGTGCCACACACACACTCCCACATGTGGGACAAGCCTACAAAACACACTCCCACATGTGGGACAGGCCTCAAAAACACACTCCCACACGTGTGTATGCGTCACACATGCGACACATACCACTCCTACATGTGCGACATGCACATGTGTACGGGCATGGATACCCTAGTGTTTTCACACTTGTATTTATCTTCCAATTACATAGTTATTTATTTAACATATTTGAATACTCATCGTTCGATGTGGGATAATTCCCAAACATCATTAAATGAAAACAAAATGTAAATATATGCTATGAATAGGCAGTTTGAAACACATATGTTAAGGAGGTATGATGGTTATCACTCATGTAATTTGCTTTGACTTCTCAAGTTCAAATCCCCCTTTGAGCCATATAATAGTTTATCTCTTCTTGAGTTAATTTTTGTTCCCCCTTGGGCATATAATAAATTAAAGTGTTATTTGTTCCCTCTTGGGCATATAATAAATTAAAGTGTTATTTCCAAAATTTGTACGTATTTTATTAATTTTTACATTGATAACCAAATCTTTTATTTTATTTATTAATTTTTATATTATAAATCATGTAATGTATTATTTTTCTTACAGTTGTCAATAATACATTTTAAATTAGATAATATTATAAAATATTTTTAATTTTTTATTATTTATCTAATAAAATAATTATAAAATATAAACTAATAATTATAATTTCAGTATATAATATTATAATTAGTTAGGTTGTAATAATTTTGGATTATAGTTAGTTAGGCTGTAATAATTTGGGTTTTTTTAGCGGATTAGGGTTTTTCACCAAAACGAGATTTTAATGGCCATTCTTTCATTGATTTGGTCTACTCTTTATTATAGCCCATGTATAATTATATATTTTATCCATGATAATTCTATGATTTTTCTTTTATGTGATGCAAATTTAATACTTGAGTTTATATAGGGAAAGAGCATCTCAATATTCACAAATTGATGAAAAAAATGAAAGTTAATAATGTAGTACCCTCATTTCTTATTGGATTCCTAAAAAACAACATTTATAATGAATTTTAATAATTTTTTCGGATTTTTTTGAAGCTTTAATCCGATCGACTCCGCCGATTCCCTATCTGGATCGCCGATTCGCTGATCCAAATTGATTTTTGAGGTGCCCGATCCGGGTCACCGATCCGCTTTTTAAACCATTGGTCTAAATTATCAACCCACCACTATAAACACAGAAAATCTTGGTGAAATGGAGGAAATCTTAAAGGTGCATAAATTTTTACAAATTTATATATTTAATGAATAAATAAATTATGAGGAGTGTTTCTTCAACAATTTGTGATTCACATGATTGTAAATTCTATTGCAGCATAATCACAATCCATAATTAGTAGAAAATCCTCAAAAGATATTCTAAAACCACCAAACCTGTCCAAAATCTATCCAATACTCTTGAAACTAGCAAAGTTATCTAAATCTTTCCAGCTCCGTCTAGTAGTGCAGGATAGAGCCCCAAAATGGCAAAAACCCCTTGGAATAGAACCTTGAAAGGGCATAATTTGATTAGATCACCACCACTGTGAAATGAACCTTTAGCACATTTTGGGGGTCGTTGGGGCTTAACGACACAGAGCATGTCATTGGCAGTGACATGGATCGTGATGTTAATGCCTCGGACCTTTGGGAAGATCAGTGCCACTTTCTGGATTCTTTTATTGCCTATATAAATCCTTCCTGGGGGATTTCAAGAGACAGATCAACTAGTGCTAGGAGAAACCTAGCAGCCCTAGATTTCTGAATTCCTTTGCCTTCAAACTCTAGAATCTTAGAAGTCAGAGAAATCCTAAGACTCATATTCTAATAATTCTAGTAGTATAGACACCCCTATCTTGATCCAGAAAATTGTGGGGAACCAAAGTCACCTTAGAACCACCGCCCTAAAACCTCAGTCACCCTAAACCCCAAAGAACCATAACTCGAGGCCAGGACTACCCGACAAGAGTCAGAGACTCTAAAAAGCACCCTCAAACGGTCCCACGGGTGAGATAAGGTCCGAAGTAAGCAATACGGGATCAAGATCTGCCAACTACACATCAAGTAGAGCTGACTACATCACAACCATTGCCAACGAGGGTCTCAAAATCGTAGGAAGGGCGGTTGCTTGGACCATCAAAATGGCATGGGATGAGTTGCTCTTCTTTTGCTTTCCTTTCGGTGCTTGTCGTACTGCAGTGTAAATAATCCTTTGTTGAGAAAAATTATAAATAACCCTTAGACTTGGTATGCAACTTATTCTCAATCAAACCTTTTTTTTCCACTTTTTACTCTAACATATAATTTGTTTTTAGCAAATACCTTCCAACTAAAAAAAGCACGGTTTTTTGAAAAAAAAAGCCCCTTTTGGACATAAAAAATTAATTTTGGCAGGACAGTCACGTGGCTTACGCACAGTACCAAAAGCTAAAGGGGTTGTTGTGCTGCCATGTACCAATTGTCTGACCTTATTAAACTAAAAAAAGTGCCGAACCGGTCTTTGACATTGCCAAACCGCACTTTGGACCCTTCAATCACCAACATTGAGATATTATCAAATTATGTGGAATTGATAGATTCTCATGTTTTGCGGGATTGAGATTTCCTCGTATTATGTGGGATTGAGATTAAGATTGATAAGTTTCCTAAAAGAAATAGAAATCCAAAAAGATTAGAACTCATGGATTTATTTCGTGGTTTTAAGATATATGTAGCATCAATAGGAAATTTCCTATTTAGTATGGACTCTTAATATTATATATATGGGATGAAAGTGCAGATAATTTGTGTGCTTTGTTTGGGTCTCCATAAGGGAATGATGGTTCCTTTAGAGAGAGAGAGAGGGCGGGTAGAGTCTTCTGTGCATAAGATCCGATTTCAAAGGAGAGTAGTTTAAAATGGTTTGTTCTAAAATCTTTTATATAACTTTTATTGGTATAATGCATTTCTGTTTGTTGTGCCCGTGGATGTAGCCATTTTGCGTGAACTACGTAAATCTGTGTTCTTGTTGTATGTGTTTCATGCTTTATTTATCATACTTTATTTGCCAAATATTAACCCATCGGGTTTAAAGCTTCTGCTCGTACAATAAGTGGTATCAGAGCCGTGGTTTGGGGTTTAGGTTCGAGGTGGAGAAATTTAATAGAAACATTATTTTTCAGCAAGAATGATGAAAGAATTTATTTGGCAAAATATGAAAAATCCATAAAGCTATCCAATTGATGTTGACATTTATTTGGCAAAAGATGAAAAATCCATAAAGCTATCTAATCGATGTTGACATGGTGAGTAGATAATTTTGATATCAAGGTGGAGAATGTTGGATTTGATACTATCCAAAATCATCAACATTGAGATATTCCCAAATTACGTGGAATTGAGATATTCCCATATTTTGTGGGATTAAGATTTTCTCATAGGATTGAGATTGATATAGATAAGTTTCTTAAAAGAAATAGAAATCCAAAAAGATTAGGACTCTTGAATTTATCTCGTGGTTTTGAGAGAAGTTTCCTATTTAGTATGGATTCATAATATTATATATATGGGATAAAAGTACAGATAATTTGTGTTCCCTAGTTGGGCCATCATATGGGAATGGTGGTTTCTCTAGAGATAGAGGAAGGTAAAGCCTCATGTGCATAAGATGCGATTTCTTTCTAGAAAAGAAAACTTCATTTGGAGAGAAACATTGTGATGATGTCGTTTTTAGACTCCTAAAGATTGAAATGCTTCTTTCTTTCTTGTAAAGAAGCGGTTCCCATAGAGATTTTGGGTTGTTCCCCTATTTAGTTGGAGGAAAAGTCCGTTTCTTGTTGTTCTCGCGTCTCTATCTGGTGTTGTCGGTAATAATTGCCAAAAGTAAAGAGAAGGAAGGGAGAGTGGTTTAAAAGAGTTTGCTTGACTTAGATATTTTTTCGAGGCTTATTTCAAAATCTTTTATGTAGGTATAATGTATTTCTATTTACCGTGCTTGTGGATGTAGCCTCTTGGGTATACCATGTAAATTTGTGTTCTTGTTGTATGTGTTATGTGTTCTTGTTGTATGTGTTTCATACTTTATTTGCCAAATATTAACCCATCAGGTTTAAAGCTTTCGTGGCCACAATAGCTGGACCGCATGAGCCTGTTGCCACACTGCATGGGCCTATACCACGTAAATTTTTGTTTTTGTTGTATGTGTTTCATGTTTTATTTCTCATACTTTATTTGTCAAATATTAACTCATTGGGTTTAAAGCTTCCGCGTGCACAACAACAAAACCGCGTGAGCTTGTTGCCACACTGCATGGGCCTATTGCTAAACTGCTCTTTAGCAGTGCCAGACTGTATGGGCATATTGTTGGATCGTTCTTTGTTAATGTTGAACCGCTTTGGGATATTGCCAGACCGCTTGTTTGTACTGCTCGACCGCCTTTTTGTGTTTTATGAAAAAAGTTAAGTAGTCGGTGGTAGAAGAAAGAGAGGGCATTTTGGTACTTAAAACTACAATATTTTGATTAGGTGGTATTTGCTAGACAGAGTTCTATTGGGTAAATGTTACGACAGAAAGTTAAGTTGGGGGCCGGTTGTAAATTTGTCTCCACGGGTTTGTGTTTGTCATTTTCGAACTTTTTTTTCGTTCAGCGAGCCGTGTATTCTCTTCTGCATTTGTTTGCTGCTCTTCTCTTTTATTTATTTTTTTGGAATAGTAATGGCTTCCACAGTACGTAGGGTTTCCTTCAATCTCAGGGTTGGTGACGGTAAGCGATGCCGCATTCGAGTCGAAGAGGAGGAAATTCATCAGACAAAAACTTCTTCAGAGGAGGAACCAACACCTGCCGTCATTAGGAATCTATTTGAACTCAGCATTGACAGTGGTGGTCATATCGCCATTGAAGTTGCAGACAGAGATAGCCATCCAACAAAACCGAAAAAGCAAGACCAAAATCAAGAAGCAAGGGCTCCAATCCACCAAGAAAAACCAGAGTATGCCATTGTTAACAGCGCAGACTTGCCTTTTGCTTCTAGGGGCCCTAGGGTTTTCTTTGACATCACGATCAGTGGGTTCAAAGCAGGCCGGATCGTAATGGAGCTCTTCTCCGACGTGGTTCCAATTACTGCAGAGAACTTCAGGGCCTTGTGCACCGGAGAAAAGGGTAAAGCCCCTAACGGGATGCCCCTCCATTACAAGGGTTCGTCATTCCATAGAGTTTTTCCAGGTGTGTGCTGTGCAGGGGGCGATTGCAGTGGTGGAGAATCAATCTATGGTGGAAAGTTTAAGGACGAAAATTTCAAGGAGAATCACAAAGGCTTTGGGGTCCTATTCATGGCTAACGGAAGGATGCCTGATAACAATTGCTCCAAGTTCGGTATAGGCCTGAACAAGAACACTGACTTAGATGGACGGTATGTTGTGTTTGGTGGGGTGGTGGAGGGGCTGGATGTGGTCCGGGCAATCGAGAATGTCGGCTTGCCTTCCGGCGAGATCCTCAAGCCCGTGCTCATCGCAGACTGCGGCGAGGTTTGAAGACATAACAACGAAGCCACAGAGCTCCTTCCTCTGCAGTTAGGATTTGTGGCTTCTTTCCTCTCCTAGCTTTATTGATAAACGCCTTAGAACTGCTACGGTTGCTTGGATTTTCTTTCTTCCTTGATACAGATTATGAATTGTTGTCTTGGTGTTGATTATGAACAATTATTGTGTTTTAGTGTAAATTTGAAAATACTGCACGTTTTTTACTTTTGGGAGGGTTATGGATTCCAGGTTTTCGTTGTTATGGCCTCTGTTTTCTATTGAAGAGATGTGTGCATTTGAGTTTTATGCGTGCATTTGTCCATGCATACAATCTTATCTGTGATCAAGATGTGTTTATTTGTATATGCATGAATCATCAATAAGTTTCAGTCTTTTGCATCAGTGGTTGAAAAATAGTATCCGAATCATTGGTAAAACAAAGAAAGTATCTGAGTCGGCCGCAGGAAATAGGGAATCCTCCATGTTGTCCAAAACAAAGAAATAGCCGGAGTTCGGTCTGAGTAGAAATGTCGAGGACCCGACCAAGGTCCGGGTCCATACTATGCCTAGTCGGGGACCAGTTCCACCCTACTGGATAGTCCAAACGTCTTCAAAGTACAGTGAGAATGGCTAAATGCTCTGAATCCCTAAGGTTCAGTCACTAGGATTTCCATTGAGCTTCCAGACTAGGCTTATGTTATCTAAAAGCAGATACTAAACTTGCAGAGTAAGTTACAGTTTCAAGTCCTAAACGTTTCCTCGTACGACGAAGAGCCCAAAATGGCTACAATCTTTTACCTTCTTTTTCATATCAGATCGACAAAGTTAGACCAAGACGCATTCATGTTCTTCAGGAAGTGAAAGATAAACCATAAGTACTCATTGCTTCAAGCCCAATACAGGCAAAACTCAAGCAATTAAGAATCGATTTTACTGCACAATTTGAGATGCAACTGAAGAGAGAAACTAGACCAAGAAGGAAGGCTCCACTCCCCATTCTTCTCCCCCATAATACAATTGATAACCATGATCTGCCATTAGAACTCTGGAGAAAATAAGACCAGTGCTACCTTTCTTCGACCTAATAATCACTAGCACTAAAGTGAGTAGGTTATGATGGAGCTGTTTGAAACTCCAGCCCTAAAGGACTGCAGAGTACTTCATGGATTTGTGAATCAGGGATAAGGCCAAGAGTCAATCTCAGAAATCTCTCCATTACAATGGCCCCCCATTTCACTATGTTATCCCTGAATTTTTATGCGTAAGTAGTGACAACACTCTGGGCAATCCAACCGGTAGTGAGTCGATAGAACTTAGATCAAATAATGAGAGGATCATTTGTGACATTATAGCTAAAACAATCCCGGTCATCCATTCAAACGACAGGGAGAGTGTGGCATATATAAATGGGAAAGCTTTCTATGCTTTCCCTACATCTTAAAACTTATGTTCTTTCCCTTATCCAACCCTCCATTATGAATGGAGGGTTAAGATTGTCTCAATCACAATGTTACGTCTCTACACTATTTTATTTTTAATTTTTTTTTATAAACTATTTTGGCACCAAATTTTGAACGGTCAATCCTCTATTAAACTCACACTAGCGGAAAATATTAAAAAGTATTTCCAATAAAAAATGACCAAAATACCCTTGAAAGTTTCAAGTGGTATTTTGGTCATTATATTTTATCAAAAATTTATTTTTAATATTTTTTATAGGTACGCCCCAATGAGAAGATGGCACGTACCAAATTTCATATTCATACAATTTGTAAATAAAAAAAAACTAAAAATAAAATACTTTGAGACATCGGATCTAAGATGAAACGTTGAGTGGCTCTCTTGATCAAAATTGGATGGTTGGATGGTAGGCGACACATAGATCTTCTATGTTGTAGGAGAAGTATAAAAACCTTTCCCTATATAAATTCCTTATGCCTACTGGCATATATAAAATTTTTCCTATAAAAAATCTTTAGAAAGATTAAAGAAGATGAAAAAAAAAATATTATTTATAATATAATAATATTTATTATATATAATATATAGAGTAATGATCCAATAGGCCCCTTCCCCACCTATATGTGTAGGACCTCAAAGGATCACCATTAAATTTGGTACGGATCCCTAGAAAAGTTATCACATAAGTGTGGGACTTGATTTTTTTACCAAATTTAATGGTGATCATTTGAGGTCCTACCCACATGAGATGAGTGGGAGAAGGTCCTATAAGATCATTTATCTATAATATAATATAAGATATTTCTATTAGAAAAATGTTATATAAGGATGCAACCTTATAATGTAGAACTACAGATGCACCTCAAAAATCCATCGAAAATTGTAATTTTAATGTTGAAAAACCAGTTGATTGATCATCTCGATATCGAAATGTATACAATGAAAAATAAAAAGATTTTAAGTATCATAAATTGTGCATTTTACAACATATTATCTACACCGTCCATTTTCAAGATTTTTATATGTTTATAGATCTACTTGATTTTAACCATTTTTTAAATTTAGAATTTTATAATTAGATATAAAAATAGATTTTGAAATAATCCTAAGAACATTGTACATCAAAATTATATACCATGATAAAATTTGAAGGTACACGTTACCTCTATTGCTACGGATGCATCTGTATGCCAACTGCACCCAAGATAGATTATTGAAAAATTGGATTTATAACTTAAATATTTCAAAAAAAATAAAAAGGAAAATGTCAAAGTGTCGAAAATGATTTTAAGAATCAGCAAAATCTTCTAAACAAATATTTCGTACCAATGCATTATTTTCTAAGTTTTTATATTTTTCCCGCTTTTTTATATTTGTTTAGTAGTTATTTGGGCCCGGTAAGTTAAAAAATGTCCCTAATTGCCATATGTGGCGTTGTTGCTCGGCCGAGTTCGAGTGGACTAGGGCGATCCCGGTAATGATTACTCGATAATGATTTCGAACCAAACTGAAATGATGGCGGATTTTGACATTATCAGTGGCAACCACTTGGACCTGCCCTCCTATTCTAAATGAGGTTATCGCAATTACCATATCAATGTGATTCCAAAGAGGTTTATTAGTGTAAAAGCTTATTTATATATATATACAAACAGATAATCTTGATGAAGTGGAGGAAATCTCGAAGGTTCATAAATTTTTAGGAATTTATGTATTTCTATAAATGTAAATAAATTATGAGGACCGTTTCTCCAATAATTTGTGATTCAGATGATTATAAATTCCATTGCACCATAATCACATTCCATAATTTCTAGAAAATCTTCAAAAGATATTCTAAACCACAAAATTTATCCAAAATTTACCCAAATACTTTTAAAACTACCGAACCTAACAAAATCTGTGCAGCTCCATTCAGTATCGCAGGATAGAGCCCCAAAATGTCAAAAACCCTTTGGAGTAGAACCCGAAAGGGTATAATTTGACTGGACCACCTCTAGCAATCTTTGGAGGTGGTTGGGACTTAGCATGTCATTGGCAATGACATGGATCGCGTTGCTAAAGGCTCGGACCTTTGAGAAGCTCTTGGAAGATCAGTGCCACTTTCTGGATTCTTTTGTTGCTTGTATAAATCCTTCCTGTGCGATTACAAGAGACAAATCAACAAGATTTAGAACAACCCACTAGCAGCCCTAGATTTCTGAATTCTAGCCTTAGATTTCTGAATTCCTTTGCTTTCAAACTCTAGAATTCCTAAAAGTCAAATAAATCCTAGGACTCTTAGGGCACATTTGGTTCGCGTAAAATTGTTTTCTAGAAAACGTTTTCACAGGAAAAGATTCTTTCTTGTGATTAAGTTTGGGAATGTTTTCATACCAATTTTTTTTACTATATCTTTTCACATCAATTGGCAACTAATTGATGTAAAAATATTCTCATTTGAAATAAATTTCATATAAAAATACCTTTTGAAAAACAATTTCATACGATCCAAACATACATCTATTATAATAATTCTATTGAGAAAACATTGGGTGAAACCAAAATCTCCCTGGGAAGACCACCATAAAACCTCAACCACCCAAAACCTCAAAGAATCATACCCCAATACCATGACCACCTGACAAAAGTTTGGGACTCTTGAAGGTGCCCTTAAACGGTCCCACGGGATAGATTTGTTCCGAAGTAAGTAATACAGGATCAAGACCTATCACCAACATAGCGAGTAGAGCTGACTACGTCACAACTACCGCCAACAAGGGTCTCAAAATCGTTGGAAGGGCGGTTGCTTGGACCACGAAAATCTCACATCAGCAAGCACCTCAAGATATGGATGCCGACGAGTGAGACGGGCACAAACGAGGGTGGCAAGCTAAATAACGTCAGTTGCAACACAGTCGATTTTTTAATGGCTGGAATCGCTCCCAATGACCTAGAGTGCTTGAATTGAACCAACGTGTCCGATCATGACATGTGTGTACCAACAAAACTAGCAATAGAGTATTTCTTGATCGGTCAAAATTGTGGCCAATCGCCCAGCATTAAAAGGAATTGAGATTCTGCCATCTTTAAAACGTAACAAAGGGCGACAAGCTCGTCAGCGTGGTTGTTACTAGCCTTCCGATTGGTCGGATGATCCACCGCCCAAAACCGAATTTTGAGGTGGACAGACGGGCGGTAGGATATGGTCATCATCACTTTAGTGGCAGGATACGGTCGTCATCACTTTGCTAATGATACCAACGTCGTTAACAACACTGTCAATGACTTATTTCATTCCAAAGCCGCTTCCTGTCTCACCAACGGCAGTGACATTTTTGTTTATCGTCAAAAATCACGTCAGCTGTAAAATCATAAGCGGTGTATTACGTGGTTTGTGCCCTCTCTTATCTCTCTTCCCTACCACTTTCACTCCTCCATTGCTGCACAGCTCGAGCTTGCCCCTCCATCCTGCCTCGCCATTGCAAGACTTTCGAAGCTCCAAAAGCCTGCAAGCGATCCATTGTAGTTCCTCTATCATTTTTAATTCCATTGTTGTTACAGTTTCTGCAAGCTTGGACAATGTTCTCTCACATACTAATTATATGTATTCCTGTAAATTTGTGTGTCTTTGGATTACATTGGATTGCAATAAATTATTTATTTCACTGTTTAAAAATACACACTGATATGAGTGTATTCACCAAGTTTACTTTTATTTGGATGGTGGTTTTGTTCTTTGCTTCAAGTTAATTTGATGGGTTTTGTTCTCTGCGTCTCTCTTTGAGTATGTTGATCGCTCCTGCTATCTCTGGAATTGTGTCATTCCATGGTTATGACTCTAAATATAAGTTCTTAAAATGA